TAAAAATTCTTAGACAAGTGAAAGTCATATGAACTTTGCATTTCCGTTTACATAAATTGACACCATGCTTAAATGCTTAAACATTGCTGAAATATCTGTTTCATATATATAATGGCAATGGCAATGATGGTAATAATACTAATCATCTTAATTAAAAGCATAATACTGATTTTATTTTTTTAAATATGATGGCAGTGATAAGAATAATAAGTACAATAATAATGACAGTAATGACAATTATAGAAGAAAATATATTGATAAGATTGATAATAATAGCAATGTCAATTAGCGTTATATTACTAATGACAAAAGTAATAATGAGTATTATTTTTATTGCAATGACGATAATAATGATGTTGATAATAGTAGTAATGACGATGATCAAGATGATGATGATAAAAATGATATTCATAATGATTACAATAATAATAGTAGCAGCCTAACTTTCAACAGCAATTGGTTTTGAGAGGGAAAGTTTAGTTAGTCAGGTAAGGGAAGGCAAATGAATCCAGGTATGAATATTTGGAAAACACAAAGAACATAACCAACAATTCATTTAAAAACAAGTGAGATTCCTGAGAAGTATGTAAAAACAACTAAAGGAAAAATTACATCCTGTATTAATTTCTGAACCCCTACTTTCTTCACTCAATAAATGAACTTTTTGCTTATAAGTCTAAAAGGTTTACAAAAATTAAGAGCAAACGCATTTGTATCTATAAGATGATCTTCTTCGTAACAATTCTTCGCAGAGACGGGTTTCCCTGGGTCAGATGAAAGAAGCAGATATGTGAGACTCATCAGTATTATCTAAAAAGAGAGAGGGAGAGAAGGAGAGAGAGAGAGAGAGAGAGAGAGAGAGAGAGAGAGAGAAAAGTGAAAGTCTCCTGTTACAAATTGCCCTGAAGCTTCATACTTGCCATGAGGATCAGCTATCGTCTGGACAAGGATCAAATCGCACAATTCCAGCTCATGATGTCATTCTGTCATTATGCATTCAGCTCTTTACTGGTTGGATTCCCTGTATCGTAATGAAGATGAAGATGATAATAATAACATTAATAATAGAGATGATATTGGTACTGGTGTTAAGATCAATAATCACAGTAATTATAATCATGGTGAGAATGATAAAGTAATAATTATGATGCGATCAATAACATGTTTCACGTCATTTAAGAAATTAAAACGTTATAGGCTTAACCTTAAATATGGTCAGAATTTTGACTCTTGCAGTTTTAGAAACTGCAAAATCATGTAAAGTTGGTGGGTTTACTTATGCAGACCTTCTGTACGGTACAGATATACCGAAATAAAACATGAATATCTCAATATTAGGACGGAATATTTGATTCCCAGGTTGACCATGATACTGTCCTTCGTAGACACCTTATACTATGGAACAACTTATCATTACCACTATCATCATCATTATCATTCTGAATATTCTTTTAGAAATGTAACTTTATACGTCTCTCATTAAAATGATCTTTGCAAATATGAAGACAAAGGACGAGGGGGGGGGGGGTACTAAATCTCTAATTGCAGCAACCTTAGCTTTACGATCGATTTGTATTCGGTAAACGATTATGTATATATCTATCTATCTGTCTATCTATCTATCTATCTATCTATAAATAAATATATATATGTATATATATACATACATACATACATATATATATATATATATATATATATATATATATATATATATATATATAGATATATATATATATATATATATATATATATATATATATATGTATATATATATATATACATATATATATATATATATATATATATATATATATATATATATATATATATATATATATATATACATATATATATATATATATATATATATATATATATATATATATATATATGTATATATATATATATATATATATATATATATATATATATATATATATATATATATATATACATATATATGTATGTATATATACATATATACACATATATATATATGTATGTATATATACATATATACATATATATATATATATATATATATATATATATATATATATATATATATATATATATATATATATATATATATATATATATATATATATGTATATATATATGCATATATATATATATGCATATATATATATATATATATATATATATATATATATATATATATATATATATATATATATATATATACACGTGTGTGTGTGCGCGTGTGTATGTGTGTGTCCTGAAAATATGTATGTATTCAGTATATATATGTGTGTGTGTGTGTATCTGTGTGTGTACATACATATAGATATATTTAAACATGTATATATATATATATATATATATATATATATATAT